AAACGATCATTTTTTTACTATTCACCGAAAATTGACTCACGATTCGCTAATAGGACGAGAGTCTGTGTCTGAGAATCGTTATTACGGTGTTAAAAGATCTAATAGGAGCCAAAAGTGTCTACGAAATTAGTTTTCTTACCGTAATCATCGTGGTTGTAAAAGTTCTGAAACGAGGTAAAGTCGATTGCGGGGAATACGCCGGCTACCGTAATATAACCTTTTATTGCCATCGTTGAACCGGCTGATTTTTCAGCGAGAAAACCCACATATAATAAAGTCCCTAGGACACCGTTTTTCTATCGTAACGATTCTTTTCGAGTTATGACTGAGCGAAAGAAAAGAAAACGGAGAAGGACGGGACTAACGCGCATGCGCATCGCGTCGGGTTACTCGATTACGCGACGGTGCAAGCATCATTTAGGAACTAAAATTCCGATGCGAGACGTTAGCCAAGTATGAACCCTTGTGGTCCAGGAGGGCTCGAAGGGCGAATAGGGAAGCTGGAGGAGGGAAAACATCAGGGCGGGGCCTGAACACAGGAGGAGGAATAAAACGCGCAAACTCGATACACGCCTCTCTTCTTCTGCTTTGCTCGAAAGAGCAAACCACCCCATCCGGTTTTCCTTTTTTCACCTTTATATAGATTTTTTACCTAGTCGACCCTTCCCTGTGTTTAACGCGACTTGCGCAAACTTGCTGTAACATCTCTCTCTCTTTCTTTAGTATTTTATTTCGTTTCGTTGTATCGACTTTCAACGTTTACTTATTACTCTCGATTTGTCGATATCTACATTATGGATCGATCATAATCGAGCCTTTAAAAAAGTGCTGCGTCGATATTAACGTTAAGGTACGTGGAGACATCCCGCGGATGTTACAGTTATTACAACTTTCGTCGATTTTTGCTACTTCTCGAGAAACGATATCTACGTAGGTACGCATCCTTTGCGGTTGTTGACCCGTAACGCGACACGTCCGCTTATCGCTTTTAGATATTTTCGTTCACTTACCTAGAATTGCCGGAGGATGGCGTCGCGTCGTTCGACGATCGAAACACTCGTTCGATGATTTAGTAATCCAATACAGGGTATGTGAATGTATCCAATATCCAATATCCAACGGTACGTTGTATTTATATTCCACTTGCACAAATACGAAAACACAATAAATCACACAATATTATCGCACACACTTGTCAGAAAATTTTACGAAAACTTTCAACCGACTCGGAGTACGTTGACACTTACGCGCCGCCATCTTTATATCTTCGATCTTGTTGCTTCGAAAATCGTGGACCCCACCTATCACCCCTTCGTAGCATAATGGACTCGACCCGATTTTGATTTATGACCCCTAATTATCGAATTATCGTATGTTATTGCTAACGACACTTTTAAGGACTCGGTACTCGAACAAAAAGCACAAAATCAACGCGCTGATAAATAAATATTTACTCGTAATCGATCTACGATATTGACCGGCCGGCTACATTCGACTCGTCCATTATGCCTCGACAAAATTTTGCTCGTAATTAGTACACATCGATGAAATTATGGGAACTAACACTTTCACTGTATCCATTGGTACTTGGCGTTTCTTCGGGCGTCGAGAAACGTATTGGATTGCCAATTATTTCAGTTAAAAGATGAAATTCCCGACAACTGTACGCCGCGATGCCCGTTAAGTAACCGCCGAACAACGACTGACGTTTTGGCGCCAACGTGACCAATATGTCGCGTAATTCGAACGTTTATGTCGAAAACAGAAATTGTATAAAAAATATTAAAACGTAGTAAAGTGTACATACATAGTCAACACTTTTCGTAATTCTTTATTAACTCTTATTAATTTGTTGTCCTAGTGGCATTCGATTTATTTCTAAACGGTATTTTTACTTTTTATGTGGCGTCGTAATATGAAGTATCACGGGCATGCGCACCACTAGTAATTCGATTCGGCTCGAATAAAGTTCAAACTCAAACGAGATTGAAATAATTCGGAAGAAATTATCGAAATTATGCGAAAACGTTACTTTCGAGTAAGCGAAGCTCGTTTGAAATCACGAGAGCATTAATCGTGACAAATTTATCAACTGATATTCATGGAAAAAATGCTTGAGAGAAGGTTCGAACGCGTGTCGCAGATGCTGAGAGGTCACGGATACTCAGGTATACAAGGTATTAGCTATGTGAATTCTCGAAGACTGGTCACCGACACCCTCTAATGTTTACCGTGGTTAGTTAATACTTGGAAGGGCGTTAACAGACAATGTTTCGTTGAATAGGTAGCCGTTTGGGTTTTTCCAAAGAGAGGTACTTTTGGGACACTGACCGCGGTCCCCCGCAAATCGTAATACTTTTGTGCTGTTCAGGCTTCAAAAGAACAATGAGCGGCGAAGAAAGGGTCTATGTAAAGTGTTATTAATTCTTTGATTGGGGCATCGTATGCCCGTTGGACAGGTAGGAAACAATGAAGTCTACGTGATCGCTGACATTTGTTTCGAAGCGTACCCATGTATAAAATTTGTTTTTCGCTCGTTAATTGTCGATATTTATTGGACAAGAAATTATTGTATATTCGTCTTCGCGTTATAATCTGAAAGCTTATTATCAAAAATCCTGCACGTTACAAGCCACGTCTCTGCTCATTGAAGTTTGTTAAACTATTGCCGTATTACGCGTTTATTGGCTGTACTTCCTGTAGACGTATTAAATTACTGGTAACCATCATTGTGGAATATCTTGATTAAAATCCATAAAGGAACAGTGCATGAATTTTACTCCGTGTCATTGTTAGCTATTACTGATAATCGACGATTTTATACTCAGAATATTAACGAGAGCTTTGTGCAATAAATTTCGTGAAATCTTAAGCTCGAAATTAATGCGACGCAATTGTCATTTCGCGATACTTTTATGCGAACAAATCCTGGCTGAATTTTTATTTCCGAAAACAACCTAATATGCACGCGTATCGCAATCATCTCGGGAATTATCGCGCGATATTTTCTATATTGCTATGGTTCAGGTATGCAGAAGTTAACATAACATCGAGACACGTGTGATGCCCATGCAACTCGTTGCACGAGAGTTCACTATCTCTCACTCAATTTGAGCCTCATCCGGCGTAAGCGGATCGACCAGGCTGGCCTTTTAACGTCGGGATAGTCTCGCCTCTCCTGGCCGTGGAGCATAGACGCCTATAACAAACATTATCCGCCATAATGCCCCCGTGTAAACATACCTACCAACGTGCATTCTCTCCTCTCCTCTCCTCTCCTCTCCTCTCTTCTCTTTTTCATTCCTCTCCTCGCCTCTCCTACTCTCATCGTTCCATCTTTTTCTCGAACACATCGTATCTTCGTCCGTTGACCGGATAAAAACTTGGATGGTTTGTTTAGCCGTTTAGCGTCTAGCGGGAAGTTAAGTTTTTCGGATAAGCCGCTTCTTTAACATGGTCCCCACTTCCCGTTCGTTTCTTCCGGTTTAGCACGCGCCGTTACCCTCTCGTTGATTCGTTCGTCAACTTTATACGTATAATCTACTCCGTCAGTTATTGTGTACACTTACCTCTTCCGAGCTTCGGGACAACTTTATTATTTCGGTGGAAATAATTTCTAATCAGGTAAGTAAAATATCGCCGTTAGCGTCCGGGCAAACGAATCATACTCGTGTATTTATGAATGACATGAACGCGGGAATCGGTTTTTGGAACAATAATCTTTGGCCATTAAGATATTAGCATTGTAGATTTCCTACGACAATATGGAAAATTGAAATTGTTCGCGTAGCATTTGCTAGATTTTCGAGTCTTCTCTGGGTAGACGTTGTTCAGCCGTGAAAAGGGTCACCCACGGGTGGCCATTCATACGACTACCCCCACTTCCAACAGGCCCACTCTGAAATCCCCACCCCCGTTTTTGGGAAGGGACCGAGGTAGGGCCTGGAAAACTATTTAGGGATGTCACGGTGGGGGTAGGTCACAGTTTGACCGAATCCCTGCACGAAGCATGACGTATTAGTGCGGGGTACAAACGGAGTCTTTGCTGTAACGCGCGTTAGTAATCGCACTAACTGGAAACGGAACGCGCACGCCGGTAGTGTGTTCACGGTATCGGAGTGTGATTGATTTTTCGTTTCGACTGCAATCGATGCCAAAGACGAAGGAATATGTTTGTGATCGAGTGCTGTGATATTCGCTTGAATATAGGACAGTTATAGTTTACAACTTGGATTTATTCGAATGAATGTCTACGCATTTTGGATATTCTCAGGCATCTTGTAATTCGGTGAGTTTTGAAAGGAAAAATAAGATACACCGTTGTCGTGTCGAAGACAACGCGTAACAGGGGAATGTAAATCTCGTCGGAGAAACATAGCTTTTCGGGTCGAAAATCACGAGAGAAGGGAGAGTAGAGGTATACGCGTGTTTATTCCGTAACGAATCGTCATTCGCAACAATAAAGGCGGTTTCTTTCGCGTTGACATCCACTGTGAAAAGATTTTCCGGTCACCAAAAGAATGCTAATTTCTTCGTTGTACCTAAAGCGCGCCGGCGAGAAGCGTCACCGTCCGTGCCTCACGTTCGCGCGCCTCCTAAAACCTATCGGGAAACTCGAAAGAAAAGTTCGTCACGGAAATAAAAGGCGTTTCCATTGTTGCGAACGGATTCTAGGCAGAAAATTTATTTCGTAAGAAATTCGGTGGTCCGTTTCGAAACGCGGAAAGAAGACAAAAGAAAGTAATTAACACTTTCGGACGATTATCGGTCGTAGGCAACATATTAAAATGGTTTCCAACTTATTGTTCAGTTTGAACGAATTTCTCGTGAAAAATACGCTTATAGCAGGATCGCGTAGATACGCAACGTGAAACAGGGAAGTGTTAATTATAGAGTTTGAAAAGTACGATCGACGGACTCCGTCTACTGTATCCCACGACCATAAATTGACAACTCTTGAACCGAGCGTAAAAATAACAGGGTTGCGATACTGATTGCAGGTGGAGGAGTACGAAGGGTACCAGGATCGTAGAGGAGAAGACAAGGCGTCAACGTCGACGGAACAGGCGTCAAAAGTGTCGGGGGCGAAGACGAAGCTATCCTCGCAATCGAGCTCGAACGATCATCGCGAGGAAAACAGCTGGTGGGCGGTGGAGGAGGGCGGAGGTCAAGAGATAAGGGAGCGTGATAAGGGCGCAGCGGTGGCGGGTGAGCTGGCTTGCCTCGCGGATTACATGGCGGGGTACTTGAAGGCGGCGGGCGCTACTTGCGCCCCGACCGGAAGTCCTCAGTACCATCCCCACAGTCATCCGGCGATGGGTGTTGGTACTCATCCCCATCCGCATTCTCACCCGCACCCTGGCGCACCTCATCCTGGCCTACCTTCACCCTTCGCCCTCCCTACTCACGGTCATCCGCATCCCCATCCACTGGAACACGGACTCGCGGCTTTTCCACAAGGTTAGTCTAACAACCATTAGTTCAGCTTTATCTTTTTTTTTTCTTCCTTCTTTCTTTTTCGTTTCGACCCTTCACGCTGCCTGCTACGTATACTCGGGATGATCTTTTTTCTTTACGATAAAGCACGACCACGCTCTTTACCCTTTATCGCCCCAAATATATTATAGCGTCTAGGTCAGCCAATTCCTGTTAATTTTTCCAATGTCAACTATTTTTTATCCAATATTTTTACACGAAATATTTTCTGAGCATGGCTTATGTGTTTCAAATAACGATTTAAGGGTGGCACGGGTTAAAATCATCGACAATCGAATAGTTACCGAGCACATTATCGAAACACTATTTACTAATCGTTACAAATCAATGCGTCGAATCTTGACGAAAGCCTTTACCTGAACTACAAATTATCCTTTTGGGATCGTCTTATTGAAAATACTTTGCTCGTAAAAATTGAGGGTTGCAATGGATAAGGTTGTAAAGGGATAATTACGAGCAGGTGAAAGTTGAGGAGGAATCGTGAGGTGGCGGTAGCTGTCCGCGCGAACATTCTTGAAAATTGATTCGTCCTCGTTTTTATACTATTTTTCGTTTCAACTTTTTCAACGAATTAAAATTAGTACTTTGCATTTAATAAACGAAAAAGTAGATTGACAAATTTCTTGTCTCAGATTAGATCGCTTCGAAAAAATTACGTATCTTACATCGACTATGTAAAACGAACAATGAGCGTTCTAAATCCTCTTTATATCGTTTCTTCCTGAAATTTCTGTACAAGTTTAAAGGAAACATTGGATCAATCACGAATGAAAGCTTGATAGGATTAAACGGTGATTCGATTGATTTATTCGAAGGTCGTTAGTAGATTGAAACGCCGAAGCTTTCGGTCTAATTGTTCAAGGGATGATACGCGTCTCTTATATTTCACGAATTATACGATACGTTATCTCCGCAGTGTTAAAGTATTTGCTTTGTCCGCCATACTAACTGTTATTGATTGCCATGCAAATCGATGCATCGACTGAAACCATACGAAGTCGAAGTAAACCTGGGGCTTCTTAACTATAGTCAGCCTGTATCATTCTTTGACAGCCGTTCCACTGCATTTCTTCTTCTCGATGTTGCCTTTAACCCTTTTAGTGCCGAACAACGATCGTCGTTGGTTATGTTTGCGAAAAATGCCGTTGCGCACGAGTTACGATACTTGGTCTTAAAACGACAAATCTTAACTCGTCGAATGTCGGATCTCGCTTAAATTTATACAGGCGCCGTTATATCGCGTTAACGCAATTGTAATCCATTGTTTATTCTCGATTTTCTCGGACTATGTTAAATTACGTCGTCTGACTCGACATTATTGAGGTTGAAGTTTCACAGAATTATTCGCGCGAAACTTTTGCGATAGTATAACGCAGTTGCATAGAGTATCACGAAGTTCGGCACGATGTCGTCGAAGGTCTTTCGTTTAAAAATGCGAATGTTTAATTAGTCGAAGCATCGTCGTGTAATACGTTACAATAGTTTGAGTCATGATTGCCTCAAGGATTAACATTCCTAGCTGCACTAATCCAAAGCAAATAAGTTTTTCGTTAATTCTGTATGGTCAGTTCATATTCGACGCGATATCTGTCCTGTCCGATACGAGTTACAAGTAGCATTACCACGTGCTTTGCATAGTTTTGCATATTTATTACTAAATATTTGTTTTCGCGAGATAACAAACAGTATTCGTCATCCTTGGAGACAGCGTTACGTGAAATATCCGTGAACTTTTAGTAAAAAGTTTTAGTAGAAAAATTATTTAAAATTGTTGCAAATACATTAGCTGTCAAGCTGCGAAAGTTGGCCGGGTTAAAGGATGAAATAGAAGTTAGGGAGAAGGCTAGATGGGTATAAATATTTTTTTATTTCCTTGTCTCGCGTTTTCGCGTTAGCGCGCGCGTCAAAATCATACGCGACGAAGCGTGCTACACGTATCGTCCCTTTCTTCGGCGTTTTCGCGGTTTGAAAAGAGCCCAGAGAGATAAAGAAAGGGGTGGAGGTGTGAGCGGCGGGGAGGAGGGAAGGAAGAAAAAGGTGAAAGAGCACCGAGAGCGAGTGGCGTCGTTGCAAGAGGGTGTAGGAGGAAGGGGCTGGAATGCCCCGGCGAAGAAGAGTAGAGAGAACCATGAGAGTAAGCCGCTTATCAGGGTGGCAGCAGGCAGTATAGGTCCAACCAACGCAGATAGGTGGGTTTCCATGGAAACACGGATCTGTCCGTTGGGTCCCTACGTACCCACGTCCAGCCGTCTATCCGTTGTAGGCGTATCCGCTACACGAAAAGCCGTGGAACGAGAGAGGAACGAATCGAGTGTTTCTCTGCCTTCGGCAAGAGGCAATTCCGGAGAATGGAAGAGAGCAGCTTTCGAAAGGGAAGTCGCGAGACAGCGAGAATAGATCGTGTCGGTGAATGGATCTTTATCGAGTAAACGCGATGATGGTTTCCTTAGCCACGTTCGACGAATTTCGCTTATTTCCACTTTTCGTCGAGTCTACCCACACGACTCTTCTCGGACACGTCCTCCGGTTAGCCGTTTACTTGTCATCGAGTTGGATCGATTCTTTTATGCGCAGAATTTACGATCGCAACGAATTTACGGTAGAACTAATTAGAATTCGTACGCTTGGAATCATCGAGAAGTTCGAAAGAAAAGCAAATTCGCGCGGAAGACGACGTATCGCGACGCGTGCGAATAAAGAGACGGTTCGTGTCTTTTCGTTCCATCGTGCGGCAATATTTATTTTATTAGACAATCGCGGGGTCGTGTTTGGTCAAAAAGAGAGAGACAGAGAGAGAGAGAGAGAGAGAGAGAGAGAGAGAGAGAGAGAGAGAGAGAGAGAGAGAGAGAGAGAGAGAGAGAGAGAGAGAGAGAGAGAGAGAGAGAGAGAGAGAGAGAGAGAGAGAGAGAGAGAGAGAGAGAGAGAGAGAGAGAGAGAGAGAGAGAGAGAGAGAGAGAGAGAGAGAGAGAGAGAGAGAGAGAGAGAGAGAGAGAGAGAGAGAGAGAGAGAGAGAGAGAGAGAGAGAGAGAGAGAGAGAGAGAGAGAGAGAGAGAGAGAGAGAGAGAGAGAGAGAGAGAGAGAGAGAGAGAGAGAGAGAGAGAGAGAGAGAGAGAGAGAGAGAGAGAGAGAGAGAGAGAGAGAGAGAGAGAGAGAGAGAGAGAGAGAGAGAGAGAGAGAGAGAGAGAGAGAGAGAGAGAGAGAGAGAGAGAGAGAGAGAGAGAGAGAGAGAGAGAGAGAGAGAGAGAGAGAGAGAGAGAGAGAGAGAGAGAGAGAGAGAGAGAGAGAGAGAGAGAGAGAGAGAGAGAGAGAGAGAGAGAGAGAGAGAGAGAGAGAGAGAGAGAGAGAGAGAGAGAGAGAGAGAGAGAGAGAGAGAGAGAGAGAGAGAGAGAGAGAGAGAGAGAGAGAGAGAGAGAGAGAGAGAGAGAGAGAGAGAGAGAGAGAGAGAGAGAGAGAGAGAGAGAGAGAGAGAGAGAGAGAGAGAGAGAGAGAGAGAGAGAGAGAGAGAGAGAGAGAGAGAGAGAGAGAGAGAGAGAGAGAGAGAGAGAGAGAGAGAGAGAGAGAGAGAGAGAGAGAGAGAGAGAGAGAGAGAGAGAGAGAGAGAGAGAGAGAGAGAGAGAGAGAGAGAGAGAGAGAGAGAGAGAGAGAGAGAGAGAGAGAGAGAGAGAGAGAGAGAGAGAGAGAGAGAGAGAGAGAGAGAGAGAGAGAGAGAGAGAGAGAGAGAGAGAGAGAGAGAGAGAGAGAGAGAGAGAGAGAGAGAGAGAGAGAGAGAGAGAGAGAGAGAGAGAGAGAGAGAGAGAGAGAGAGAGAGAGAGAGAGAGAGAGAGAGAGAGAGAGAGAGGAAGAAATAAAGAGAGAAGGCTGGTAGGTTTGAGCATAGGGTGCGAGAAAAGGGAAAGGGGCGTTGAAAACGTTATCGTTAACGCGACCGATGTTCAGGGACACTGACAGCAGCCACCGGGTAGATATATACTTACGTGGGAATCGCGTCACATGCTTCTCCCTTTTACTCGTTCGACGACTACTATTTGTTGTCACAGAGAAATTGCCCGTCCACTTAACTTCCTCCGCCTCTCGGTGGGATCGCGGAGCGTAAACAGACATCCACGCCTCTGATTTTTATTTCATAACGGGGCGTAGTCGAAGGGTAACGCGATAATCACGGGGCAACTGTTCCTTCCTCCAAGCGTTTATTGCCACGCTGATCACTCTGAACCGGTGTTAATAATTAAGAGAGGAAAGCAAAAAGTGTTACTCTGGCTATCGAGGAAAATAAGTGGAATCAAGTCTTAATTAGCGAACTGTCGTGAGACTCTTCGATGACCAGTATTAAAAACCAGTACGAAAAAGAAAGGATCGAATGATAAGAATGTTAAAAATGCGGTAATAATTTGAAATAACGAATCGGAGTTTCGGTGCGCGAAAGAAATTGATTGAAAACATTTGTAGAGGGGTTCGTTGGTGAAAAGAGAAGTTGTCGATTCGATGGAATCGCAATCAGTCAATTAGACATCAGGTTAAGGGCGGCACGTGCTGTCGCACGTGTGCTCATCGTCGTTACCAAGTGGCCACAAAATATCGGGTGAAAGGAGCACGCGCGAAAGCACCAGGGAGAAATCTTAGTCGAAATCGCAATAGGACCGATCGACGCGTGTCACGAGTAAATTGAGTAGGTGGGCTGTGTCCTCGAAAGAGGGATCCAAATACAGGCCCAGTCCCTAATTGCAGAATAAACACTCGAGTCTGAGTGAAATATCACGTAAGATATCGATACTTTAACCTCTTTTCTGCCGGTTGTTCTCGTTTCTTCGCGCTTCGCTCTATGCGTTATAATTAGCCGAATTGTGGCGCTTTTAATATATTCAAACGAATTGTATCGAATTTTTGGATCCTTGCAAGAGTAACGGCAAGATATTCCGATCGATTCCCCAGAGGATATCGTAAAAGGTTTTTCTTTCGATCTTTGA